CTAGTTCCAGCGCAATCTCAAGGGCAGCTTGAATACTTTTAGGTCTTCCTTGTCGAACTTTCATTCTAGTTTCTTCATCCACTAGGCCGTCAATGAACTGGTCCTTTGCAAGTGTATCCTGGAGTTCCACCTCAGCAGCCGGGTACGCCATTTTAACTAGTCTCTCCAAATCTGACGCCAGCTCAGGTAAACTTTCGTCTCTTTTCTTCACTCGTGTCTTGAATTTAGCTCTTGCCAGCTCGGACTGATGAGAAGTTCCAAATCGATTTGATAGAGCCTTTGTAAGCACTTCGAAATTTCGCCTGTTCTCTTCAGACAGATTACTCAACACCATTGTTGCATTTCCCTTGAGACTTGTGGCCAGGTATGACGCTTTTTGTTCAATATTCCAATTATTGATACTTGCAATTATTTCAAATTGCGCACTGAACGCCTCCCAAGGGGTTGATCCGTCATATGGTGGTGGTAGTTGTACGGGTCGGTGTTCCTTGATTCCGGATAACTTCAGTTTACTTTCCAATTTCCCCTCTAATGCATGCACTCTTTCAAGCGATTCATTTAATTCCTCCATTTTGTTGTCGATATACTTCAGCAAACGAGTTTGGCTCTCATTGTTATTATTAATGTCACTCATTTTGCATTCAATACGATCCTCCATTTCCTGAATCTAATTAGCATAAGTATGGTTTAGCCGGTCCAGAAGTTGTTTTTGGCTTTCAACTATAGTGTATAAATTGTCCAAACGTTCTTGAAAGTCCACATGCCTTTGTTCAGTTTTGATGATAAACGCTTTCACTTCCATTAATGCGCTTGAAATTCTTTCCTCGAAACCTTCGCGGTAATAAACATCTTAAAGCTGCTTCTCCCTCCATTTCTCTTTTTCTTCGCTGCAATCTGGTTTCCATCCAATAAACGGTTTTGTAATTAATTAAGCGTAATGTGTGTACATCAAAAAACCACGATCAAAATCCAATGTAAACAACTCCCGTCCATGCAATCCCTTGGGATTAGTAGTTAATAAAAACAATACGATGTACACAATTGATTCCAATCAGCTAAGTACATGCATGAATATAAATTGAGTTAGCTGCGCAACAATCCAGCAACAGTAAAATCCCGCATAACAGACCAAGAGCCAGTGCACAGCAAAAATAATCCAACGATTAAAGAAATAATAATCCCGTTAATAATTCAGTGAGATGAATAACCCTTGAAATTGAAGCCAGCGTACCACAAAAATGTCCAAAGTAATCCAGCAAAAATATAAAGAGTAATTTGGGAGCTGGTTAAGTGTTGAAATCCATATTCTTTGGCAAATTCTGTGAAGGCGAAGCTGTCATAATGAGGGCCGTTATCCGATCGAACAGTGGTCGGTATTCCGTGTTCGCTGAATATCTGTTTCATCATGTTGATGATGGTTCTGCTATTACTCTGTCCCTTAGGTATCTTCCTAACAAATGAGTATTTCGAGTAATAATCGGCTATTAAAAGATAATCAGAGCCGAGTAAGTGAAATAAGTCAGTTCCTATGGTGTGCCATGGTCGTGGTGGTATCTCTGTTGGTATCAAGGGTTGTTTTGCATTAGATGTCTGGTGCTTCTGACAGCTTGTGCATGTTTGCGTGATCTTATCAATGTCATTGTTAAGGTTTCTCCAGTAGACTGCGGTCCTGGCTCTGAGTTTCGTTTTCTCAGTCCCCTGGTGTGCTGCATGTAACTTCTCTATAATCTCATCCTGTAGCGTCGAGGGAATGACTATTCTTTGACCTTTTGTTAAAATGCCGTCATCAATTCCAAGTTCGTCCCTAAAT